CGCGGTCGCGATTCTTCTATCTTCTTCTCTTCTTTTTAACAAACCGTCGTCGCCCGGTAACCGACAGTCGCGCCGATCGCGCGCCGTTCACGCGGCTCCCGCGACACATACGCGGTGACCCCCGCGTAACAATATATATATATATATATGTATATATATTATATATATATATATAATTTTTTTATAATTATAATTTAATAGATAAATTGAAAACGCGTAATATGTAACATAATTATTGTAACATTATATAATAAAATTATTGCATTGCATTTTTTATTTTAAACTAAAAAAATAGTTAATTCAAAAAACTTAACTATATCTTATGTTATAAAAATAACATTTTGAAACCTTTTAAATGCATCATTTTACGTGAATCGCCAAAAGCTGCAGATTCTGCTCGGTTTCTGTTGCCAATCTGCCGTTAGAGTGTGCGTGCGCAGATGTTGTTCGGTTTCTGCCAACAATCTGACGTCAAGTCATGTTAGCAGATCTTGCTCGGTTTCTGCAGCCAATCTGCTGTCAGATTTTGTGAGCAAGATCTGTTCGATTTTTGGCACCACTTTGTAGACTTAATCAATAATAACAACTTCTGTATCAGATTTGTAGCCTTTTTGTTGACAACAGGTGATAGCAGACACTTGCATGATCTGCTTTTGACAGACTTGGCTATCTGGGCACTTATAAGCATTTGACAGATTATTAAAAAGAAATGGCGTTAATGCATCGTATTAAAGATTTTGTTATTGAAAAGTAACTTTTGGGTTTTATTTCTTTGTTTTTTAACATTCTCGTGTAAAGAAATATTGAAAAACATTTTCCAAAAAAAAGGTAAAAAAAGACGCCAATCCCAATAGGTAAACTGTGAAAATATTGCACAAAAATGGCATCATGAATGACGACGATTTTGCAATAATTACACTAAAATGATTTGCCATAACGCAACAGTTTTGTCAGAATAAAATTTTGTAAATAATATTTGTCAAAAATTAGAAAAGAGTCGTTATGCATTTCCATAAGTATATACATGAATTAACTTGATTTCTTCATATGCAATTATATTTTTACATGTTTTAAACATCACATAGCTGAAATTTTTTTCTCAATTATTGAACAATTTTTTTTTAAACTTAATTTTGCAAACATACTGTTAAGATGATTCGCCATATCGTTATTGTTTTGCCGAAATAGTATTTGGAAATTAATTTTGCAAACAGTTACAAATATTTGATAAATGATCAATATTTTTACATCTATTTCGCAAAATATATCTACATAGTTGCAAATCAGAATTTTCATGTAAGATTTTGTCATATAATTTCATAATTGTTTTCCTATTGGGGAAGTACACGCACAAAACTTATTTTACAAAAGAAGTGATATTAAAAAGTAGCACCAAGTAAAATTTGGGATGTTATTACATTATTGGTAGAGAGAATAATATAGAATAGAGAGTATAACATAATTGTGTTAACAAAGAAAGAATTTACTGAATTTACTACTTTTTTGTAACAATAAACTAAACGGTTTCAGGAAAATCAAGAAGTTCAGGAGACTCAGCATAACTTTCTTTCCGTGAATAAACAAAAACTTTTTTAACATAAGAACTATTTAGAACTTGGTTAGAGATGTGACTGCGGTGCAGATGTGTGCTCCGAATGCTATAGAGAATTTTTGATAAAAAAAAGCGTAATTAGTGAGCATAGAGAAGGTAGTAGAGAATACGAAAAAAAGTATAGGTGATAATTTAAGATAATAAAGTAGGTAAAGAAATTAAATATAAGTGGAGAAATATAAGAAATAAGAAGGCGGTAAGGTGAGGATGCTCTTTCAGTGATTATTATGTTATGAAAAAACTGAATTTTACTTGTTTTAAGTAAAATATGTTTATTAATCTTGTTGCTTTTGTTCTTTTGTTTATTACATAAATAAATTTATTCATTACATAAATGAATAAATAAACAAATTGGAACAATAAACGTTATGTTTGATTGCTTTAAATATTGTTTTTAGTTTTTTTATTAAAACTGACTTTTTCATGTCACTTTTCTCTTAATTGTCTAATCTATTGAATATAATATACATAATTAATTAATTAAGGCAGAAGCGTGTACGTCCGTAGAAATGGCGATGCAAAAATGTCCAAACGGAATACTATCAGAGATCAAGTACGACGGCGAGCGGGTGCAAGTGCATAAAAACGGAAACGATTTTCGATACTTTAGTCGATCCTTGAAAGCGGTTATGCCGCATAAGGTAAATATTCAAGAATGATTAGAAAAACAACTCGTACAATATAATTCTGTGATTTCAAATTTAGACAGTAATCTCTGAATAAATGTCGCTAATTTTCTGGTCGATTTTGGAAAATTAATCAAAAGTCATTCGATTAATATAATTAACGTAAAAGTACATATAAGTTATAATAACACTTTTCTTTAACATATGGCAGAACTACTATTGCACTGTTTTAGGTAAATCTTTTTGCGGATTATATAGTGCAAGCTTTTCCCGATGGTGATGATCTGATCCTCGATTCTGAAGTTCTCATGGTTGACAACGAGACCGGGAAACCTTTACCCTTCGGCACTTTGGGGATTCATAAAGTAAGAATTTTATCTTCTGTTTCATAAAGTAAGAATTTTATCTTTTGTTATTTCTACATTTCTCGAGTGATAAAATAATTCTGTATCTAATAATATAACGTTAATGTTCTAAGTTGAATGTGTTTTACAGAAAGCTCAATTCAAAAACGCCAATGTGTGTCTGTTTATTTTTGACTGCTTATACTACAACGGCAAGATACTTATCGATAAGTAAGTATCAAATTCTGAAAATAAAAATAATCTCTTACATTTCTCTCTCTTTCTCTCTCTCTCTCTCTCTCTCTCTCTCTCTCTCTCTCTCTCTCTCTCTCTCTTTCTCTTATATTATTTTATATTGTTATTGTAAATTATCGTGTTGTAAATCAATATGGGTTTGGTACAATACAATTTTATTTTATTTCCTGGAAGATCTATACAAGAACGCAGAAACATCCTGAAAAATAGGATAACTGAAATACCGAACAGAATAATGTTATCCGAAGTTCATGAAGTACACGTAAGAAAAAAAACGATATTAAATTGTTATATTTGTAACAAATTGTTAGTCACGTTTTGTTTCAGAATTTGCGAGATCTGACAGAAAGGATCATACATATATTGAAAATGGATCACGAAGGTTTGGTTTTGAAAGACATCAATGTACGTGTAATTTTGATTCAATGAAAAAAAATTATAAAAATATTTCAAAAGTTTGTACTTGTACAAATTTTTCTTGCGAAAGCTATCTGCGATTTTTTTTGTTCTCTCATGGGATTGGATCGATATTTTCGTATCTCACGTTTCCAGAGCAAATACGAACCCGGTAAAAGACATTGGCTGAAGGTAAAGAAGGATTATTTGTGTGGCGGCGCAATGGCTGATAGCGCAGATCTCGTCGTGCTTGGTGCATGGTACGGCACAGGCAACAAAGGTTCGAGCGACATTTTATCATATTTCGGCGAATGAGATTTAAAATTTTAATAACTTTTCTTCTATAAATCTCTAATATTACTACATTTATTTCTCTCAAAACAAGACACATTTTATGTTTTATTTGTTCTTATAGGTGGTATTATGTCCATCTTCTTAATGGGTTGCTACGATGAAGAGCGTGATAAATGGTTAACCGTTACTAAAGTCAGTAAAATAATTATATAATTAAATTATATAAATTTTTTTATATAAATTTATTTTTATATATAACATACTCTTGAGTTAAATTTGTTTGTAAGTTCGTATCTATCATTCAGGTTCATACGGGACACGATGATTCCACTCTAACAGCTTTGCAAGACGAGCTCGATATGATAAAGATCGGCAAGGATGTAAACAAATTACCGAATTGGTTGCTTGCCAACAAATCTATGGTACCAGATTTTATAGCAAGAGATCCTAAGGTGAGTGAGTGAAAAAACACAATATATCTTTGTACAATGATTAAACAGGTTAACAAAAGACATATCTTTGCTTTTATTATAAGATTCCTCTAAAATAGATATTTTTTTTTATTTTAATGTGAAAAACAGAAACAGCTAGTTTGGGAAATAACAGGAGCTGAATTTACGAACCAGGGAGTACACACCGCGGATATTAGTATTCGATTTCCACGCGTGACGCGGATTCGCCGCGACAAAGACTGGTCCACAGCCACCACACTGAACGAGTTGCGTAAACTCTTTCAAAAAAAGCCTGACTCCATCGATTTCAGTCTCTTGCTCAAAAAGGATTTCAAGGACATTTCAAAAAAGAAACAGTCCATTCTCAGTACACTTCCAAAGAAATCGGAGAACGCGAAAAGAGGAGCAAGCTCACCAAGCGAACCATCGACGAGTTTTGCAATCGGAGAAGGAACATTCTTCCAGAATACTTTAGATGATCCAGAGTCGCACATTACAGAAAAATTCGCGAAAAAACGAAAGAGAAATAGATATATAAAAAACTTTGACAGTGTCGAAAGTACTCAGTTGAAGACAAAAAAATTAAAATTCGTGTGTGGCAAGATAGAAGAGAAAACAGAAAAAGATAGCTTTACTGCTGAAAGAAACACAAAAGAATCGTTTGAATTGTCGAAAGAAACTTCGGATTCGGACGTCGAAGATATTGACGTCGAGGATATTGTAAGTATAATAATGTGTATACATGTGTGTATAAAAACGTGTCTTGGTTCAAAACATAATTTATTTATCATTGTGTTATCATTTTTTCACGAAACACAGTGAAAAAAAAGTAAAAATGTTTTATTGCAAATTTTATTTAAACATAAGTTTTTTAATGAACATTTATTTTATTGATTTTTCCTTTCGCGCTATTTTGTGTTTCACGATGTAGAAATTACATTTTTTTCAATGAATAATGTTGACGTTGAAGATTTTGCGTACTACATATTCTTTTTTGTACTTTTCGAAGATTTGTCATAAAATGTGATAAATGTTGCAACATGATGTTACCTTGTCTCTCGCTGAAACTTGTCTTACGACTGTTTATCAGTGATCTTTTGTACGTACGAAGAGCTGTTTCTTCTGGGAATTCAGTTTATTCCTATTTGTAACATTGAAACATCGTTACGCTCTTTTTCCTCTCTTTCTCTTTCTCTCTTTCTGTTTCTCTTTCTTCATTACTTTCGCAATTCTACATTTTTTACACAATACTATTTACTGTTACTTATTTATTTAAGTAATATATTATTTGCATATATATTTGTGGTTATAATATTTTATAGTAAAAATGGCTGTGATTTTTTTTTAATTCAAATTTGGAGTGTACTTTTTTATATTGTCTTTTGTGTTTTTTTCTTTTATTGCAAAATTTATCACGCAGGAATCCAACAACATTCTGCAATACGTGCGAGCGAGTTTTGCACCTGGGTTCGACAATACAAGACGGAAGTATGCCCATAGAATACTTCAAATGTATCCTTTCTCTACTACAATTTTTTTATGCAATGATAATTCAAGTCTAGAAGATTGTATTATCTCTATGTTCACATTACATGAATGCGATTTTATAGAAGCCCTACGATTTTCCACTCGTTTCCGATAATTTCATAAATTTTTATCGCTCTCCCTTCCTTTCTCTCCCTCCACTAACTTCTGATTCTTCGATCGATTTTCGAAGTAACACGACGTCGACGCTGCATTACGAAAGAAGTTGCATTATCTACCTTGTAACGCACATTTTCTGCTTTTGGCAGTATTAACAGTAAAACACAGTTCGGGTCTTATTTATAATTTTTCTTAAAAAATATTCTTACAGACGTGTGTAAATTGCAAATTTATATCGCACATCTTCTATTTTAATATTCGAATTTTCAATACATTTAGACAATAGAATACGAGATACAAATAATTATATAATACTTGAAATATCCATAATCTTCTTTATACATTAGAAGCAACTAACCATCGAGTATCCATCGAAACACACGTAGCACGACTCAATACAAACCAGATCTATGACTCTTCGAGTGAGTTACAATAATCAGATATTGCATTAGTTTTTGTATAGAATTTGTATTTGTCCTTCTGTACGTCACGGGAATTGTTCATTTATCAGTTATACTACCCGCGGTGTGTCGTTAGAAAATCGGTTCCTGTAACATTTCCTCAACGATGGAATTCCACTTTTCCTCGTACGACCGCGTTGTCATTCTCGTGGGATGACTTTAAAGCCGATGTTTACTGTGACAAACGAACACGCGATATTTTCTCTTTAACGCAAAAGGTTAAAATAACGTTAGACTCGGCGGCACGTTAGTGAACATACCGGAGAACAAATCCATAATGACGACGATGACTCACATCATTCACACACGCACGGAAATTCCATCCACGGTTGTCCACGAGGTGAGTTTGAACTAGTTTTGATGACATGTAAGCACACGTGCGCTCCGAGATTGTAACTCACGATTGCGGAAAACGGGAGGAAACAGTTTGAAACAAGATGTTCAATTTTGCGTAAAAAGTTTTTCGCGCTTTAAATATTTCTTTTTAGTCGGAGAAAAAATAGATATAATATTTCATGTTTTTACATATTTTTACGAAAAAATTTTATTGCACTTTTTGTGCATATCGATTTATATTTATTTATTGGTGCACATTAATATATAAACCTAGACTGCGTAAGTCTATACTATATATAGTGTAAACCGTTTTTTCAGTTAAATAACAAAAAATGCCTTGTATTAGATAGTTACTATTAATAAATGTTTACTTGTCAATGCAGAAATAATGTTCTAAAATTAATAGATAATGTGTGACAGAGAGAGAATTATCTTATATTTTGTATATTAATATTTATATAAATTTATATTAATTATTAATTTCCAATTTACCTGCAACAACATTTACAAATTATAATTAAGTAGTATAAAAAGACTTTTTATTTACATTGTGTTTATTGACTTCTTTTAATTTATATTAATTTGAAATTTCAATGTTGAATTATTGAATATGTTTATTGATTTATAATTTACTTTTAAAAGAAAAACTTGTTCATATAATTCAGCTTTTCGTAACTTTATCGAGAAAACTGTTGTTTTTGTTTTTATTTCTACCGAAAGACACACGTTGTACCACTTAAAGACGTTCTCCGACTACAGTGGTTAGCAACCTAAATACAGTGGTTAGCAACCTAAAATATCTCTTCTCATGAGTAAGTTTGTACTGCTGTAACAAAGTTAAGTTGAGCTATTCAGCACTGCTAAGACCCGCTTACTCTGCGCAGAAGTTCAAAAATAGCTGCAGTACACATAAATCCAGCAAAACAAAAAAAAAACAAAAAAAAGCTACAGTTTGAAAACAAGGGTTGCTTGCCATATTATTCAAAATCGTGTTTTAATTAAGACACTCTCCGCTACTACATACTTGTTTTTTAAAAAAATCCTACAAAAATTGTCGTCAGTAACTTTAAAAAACCCCACTTCACAAAGGCTCAGCATAGGAAATCCATGTTAAAAATTGAAACTTAAATCTTCCATATTTTGGAATTTAACATTGCTACCCCTATTATCCAAAAAGGCTACGTATAAATAAGATCATAAACTATGTATATCGCAAATTTAAAGAAAATCCTAGGAAAATCAATAATTCGGAGAACGTCCTTAAGTCGTTATCCGAAAAAATATATCGAGTTATTCAATTCAGCTGCGACGTAAAGATTTAATGCATACGTAGCGGAGGAGCGGGAGATATAGAGTCTTAAACGGATTAATACCGCGACCATTACCATCGCCACCCGGTGTTTAGCACTTTCCGTATCCTGGGAAGCAAGTTGTCAGCCCGATTAATCGTCAGTACTAATTACCGGCTCGTTCGTTTGCTCGCTCGCTCGCGCTATTTTCCGCGCCACAGCGACTGCAGCAACATATTTGCAAGCAATTGTGGTCTTGTTAACGTGAGTTTGCATTAACAGATGATGTTATTAATCGCGATAAACTTCACTGACTACTAATTATAATGTAACTTGTTGAATTTAGTTAAAAAAGAAGCACTTCGATTTTTATTTTTTAATTTATATGAAAGCGCAGATGAAATAAGAGTTTCTCGATAAATTATATTAAGGTAGTATTTGCACAAAATGAGTTTTTTAAAAATATACCAAAATTTGGAATACAAGTAAATATAAGTGCTCTCTATGTTGTTATGCAATTAGAAATTTATAGACCGTCTAGTTTTGCAGTAATTGTAATTAAAATGTGTAGTTTTAACACGTTATGCATATACGCAACTCAAGTTAACATTAGATTTTTAATTATAATATCCATATAATTCTTAAGATTATTATAAAATATGAGTATCATATAGAACAGACATATACAAATATTATAAAAAAGTTTCAAAATTGTTAACCGTTTAGTTTAGAAAATGTAATTAAACAAAGTGCGTAACCACCTACGAGTTTTCTCTTTAATAAATTGCCTTTTATGTCTTAATTGAAGTCATTTTCACTGTTTACCGTATAAATACGCACAAATACACAGCGTCAAAGTTTTAGGGTTAACGCAATGGTGCTACATCTTTATTATTTTGATATATGTACAGTAGGGAGCACCATATCGTGCGGCTCCAGGGGAAGTATTTTTCGGGAATTTCTCCTTTGACTGCTTCTACTATCGCGCGTCGTTCTCCTTCGATCTCTGCCAGCAACCCGAGATCGAAGGAGAGCAGCGCGCAGTAATAGGAGCAGCTAGAAAAAAAATTTCCGAGAAATACTTCCTCTGGAGCCGCATGATATGGTGCTCCCTACTGTATATCATATACAAGAATCTTAGAGTGTATAGGTTAGATTAGGTTGGTGAGGGTGCGCTGCGCTCGGGCGTCTCCAGCGGACGTTGGCGGCGAGAGTTATCTACGTTTATCGGACGGTGTCTGGGGTGATAGCAGGGATGCTGGCCGGTATTCCATCCGTCGAGCTATAGGCCCAGTATCTCAGGGTGTACCGCGAAATGCGAGTGGAACTCTTTGATGAAGGTGCAGGCAATCTCCGTAAAAACGCGCGTACGAAAATGGTAACACAGTGGCAAACCCGTGTTGGTAACTCTATCTTGCCCGGATCAGACGTTAAGACAACACTTCGCCCGTTATTGGGCGAGTGGATCAGTAGACCTCGCGGGGCGACCTAACTGACTTTCCGGACGACGCAGATGCTCACCGGGCACGCGTGCTTCGATGAGTATCTGCATAGGATCGGTAAAACTCAGAATCCAGCGAGCTGGCACTGTGATGCTATTGATTCAGTCCATCACACGTTGGTTGTCTACCCGACATGAGACGCGGAGCGCCGCGAATTGTATCGAGAAATCGGGTGAGACTTGTCGCTGCCTGCGATGTTCCGCGACATGTTAGGTAGCGTGGACAAGTGGAAGGCGGTCGTCACTTTCTGCGAGAAAGTGGTCTCACCAAGAAAATGGCCGAACGAAAAAGAGAGCTAGCGAAGAGGCATAACATCCTTGCAAAAAAACCATCGCTGAAGACGAAATGAGTCTCTCCGAGTCCTTGGATTCGTGAGGTTCTCTAAAAGAATCCGGTGGTACTAGAGATACCAACAGCATCTGCAAAGGTGCCCGTACAACCAAAGAAGAGAAGCATAGGGTATTTCACCATCATTATCATGCTCGGCTTTTTTTTTGTTTGCGCAAGGGAAATGCTGTTATGCATACCCTGGCCCAGACTGACAGGCTCACAGTGTGAGCCAGGGTAGTGTGAGACTCGCCCTCCAAATAGGAGGGAATACCCATTAAAACCTCTGTGGTGTCCGCCTGCCGCCCTATTTGGACTGCCCCGGTACCTCGTTAGAACAATCCGGGACAGTCCGTGAAGACATGGGCTTGCGCCCCGCTCCACTATGGAGAAGAAAAGGGTAACGCCATTTTCCCCTCTTCCCCTGCGACGGAGCGAGGGGACATACCTCAACTCCGCCACCGTTGAGGAACTGCGTGCAATGAGGGGAAAAACATTCTCTCTGCGGTTCCCGGGTCCAACACCACCCCTTTAATGGTAGACCCACCTTCCACTAACCGGATTTCACTCACAAGAGGGAGGTCCGCTCTAGACCAACAAAAGAGGACAACCGGTCTCAGCATGTCCTTTGTCCTCGTGTCCCCATACGGGAGAGAAGAGCGGGAAGTTGGGCTTGACTGAGACCGGGCCCGCAACACAAGGTAAAACGGCCTGGACCGTAGCAAAAAGAGACAGGCACGGCCATCTTTATATCTGGTGCCTCCTGCAGATACACGGAGGGGCGGCTCCCCAGATTCTTGGGGAAAGTCCCGCCGGAACCAAATAGAGCCGCGTCCTCCCCCCTCCTCACAAAGGATTGATTGTAGGCACGGCAGCCCCCCGACTGATAGAGGAGCATAACGCCCCATCCATTCGGTGAGAGGACTCCCGGCCCATCTCACGCAGAGGAGACACCCCTCTCTCTCCTCATTGCAGCCGGCCGCCTTGTGCCCCGGCCGACCACAGCGATAACACAGATCGCTGCGGTCAATCGAGCTGGAGCACCGAGCCCTGCATTGCCTAGGCTGAAAACACCTGTAGCACTGCAGGAGGCGGGGGCGAAGTGCACGCACCCTCGCTATCACCCAGCCCACCGGAAACTTGCCCTCTTTAACCGCCTTAGCCGCCGCCTCAACTGAGCAGCAAACCAAAGCGGTCCCACTCCTGGACGGGGAGTGACGCAGAGATATTACCCTAACGCCTTCCCCGCCGCCAACCTCCCGCGCAAAACCCTTGCGGAGCTCATCCTCAGTAATAAACTCATCCAATACCAAAATCAAAACTTCCACGTTCCGGGATAGACGAGCCATCATGCTCGACTTAACCTAACTTTTTTTTTAACCCAGGGGAAATGCATTATGCACACCCTACCCCACCGAGGTGGGATGAGGTAGTGTGGGACTCCCCCCGCCAGAGCTCACCCTGGCGAGGTATACCCACTAAAACTTTTAAAACGGCCGTTTGCTGCCTATTGAGACGCACCTTGGAACCTCTAGGGCAGAATCCGGAGTAACGCCGGTAGGCTGGGGGCCTAACTGGGCCCCACTCCTTGGGATGAGGAGCAAGCTCCTCCGCGACAAAAGGAGGGGGCCATAACCTCCATCGTCTGCAGGTCGAGTGCAATGAGGGGTTAAACTAAACCTCTCTCAGCCCCAGGTCAAACGCCGAAGCGGATCTGTCTCCTTTCGTAATGACTTTCTTCGACTCGAGGGAGACCCTTCCCCCACACCGCGCCCAGTCTCCGTCAAACTAAGCCCCAACTAAAGCTTGAAGCAACGGAGACCAGGCTTTATCTTCTTGGGCCCCGTGTGTCTCAAAAGGGCAGCAAGGGTCAGCCCCGCCTGGGT